AAAAGGTTTTAAAGGGGGAAAATTGGGCCAAGATGAAGATGATTTTAGTGAAATTTAAGATGTAGTTCTGACTTAAGAGGATATACACCCAGGGTAAATGTTCTTTAGTTCTAATTAGACAACTCATTGCCATTCATATCATAGTCTCTTTAATGTAAAGATGCTAGAGGAGCCCTTTTAGGCTTAGCCAAACTGACATTATTGAATAATATTAAATCTTAATTACTAAGAACATTTTTCTTTCTCTTTCTTTCTCTATATTCCTCCCTCCATCTTTCCTCCTTTTCTACTCTCTCTTCATCTTTACCCAGGAGGAAGCTAGGATGAAATGTTTAGATAAATGAGACATAAAAGGGAAAAGTGTTTTCTTTTTAAAATAATTAGGTAACTTGCAGGGTGGAAAAAATAATTTTAAATGATCTGTAAGTTCCAAGGTAATAACTTTGTGTACATTTAATTTGCATAGGATTTAAGAAATAATGCTTAAGGTTACGTATGTTTTTCTTAGTGACTATTTTTTGTGAAGCATTAAATAATTTTTAAAATTTTTACTAAACTGTGGTACATCCACACAATGAAATACTATGACTATTGAAGTATAATAAAGGTCTCTATTTCTGAGAGAGTAGATCATCAGTATAAATTTTTAGATGATAAGTAACACAGTATTTGGTCTTCAGACGATAGGAATACATTGTGCAACACTGTATGTACAGTATGCTGTCTTTTCCAAGAAACAGTGGGAAATAATACATTTTTATTTGCTTAGACTGCACTAAGAAACATGGGAAGATGCATAAGAAGCTAGTAAGATTACCAGCAAGGGTCAGAATGAGGAGGTATACAATGGAGGAAGTCAGGGGTGGGAGTGAGACTTCTCAATGTCTATTGTGTTCTGTTTTCATGTTTCAATCTTGTGAATTTACTTTCAACACAAAAAGTAATTTTGAAAATATTTTAAATATATTGCTTGTGTGTTTTTATAAACTGAAAAGTCACATTTTTGTGAGCACTACCAATTATTTTTCATTCATTCATTGTTCATGTGTATCTACAGTGTGGTTGTTGCTACAATAAATTAGGATACATGTAATTCTTATTTGTTAAGGGCTCACTTTGGTGGGCAAATGAGAATGTGAGGTAATCACTGTGGAGCACTAAATGTCATAAGAAAGGCATAGTTATTGGCAGGATCAGTGAAAACTTTAGGTAGGAGGTAGCATTTGAATTTTTTTTTGAGCAGTTGGAGAAAAATGAGGAAGTTAGGAGAATTTTAGATGGGGGATGAGCATAGTCACAAACATGGAAAATTATAGGACTTGCTCCTGTGAATCTTTGCTTTTGACAGGCAATATGGATGAAAATTATCCTTGAGAAGAGCTGTGGTCTTGTAACATTTCAATAAATTAAAATATTTTGAAGAAAGCCAGTTGTTGTTACCCTGTTTGTCATTGGCCACATCTACTAGTGCATTGAAATACTTGTGAAAATACAGGCAGTCTCAGTAGCACCTGAACTAGGAATATGTACAGTATGGGAAATTTTTAAATAACATTGTATTTTGATATAATTCTACACAGAAAAGTTGAGTGATTACAAAGACCATATAGATTACATATTACATAATTTTTTTCTGAACCATTTGAGAAAAAAGTTGGAAATTTTATGACTTTTTACCTCTAATACATTGGTACATATTTCCTAAGAATATTATTTCATAATTACAGTGCAGTTATCACAATCAGGTAATTTTACATTGATTCAATATTATCAATCTATAAGCCATGCTTGAAAGTTCGTTGTCACATAATGTACTTGATAGCTGATATTCCTCAACTCCAGGACTAAATCTAGGTTCACACTTTGCATTTAGTTGTCATATCTCTTTATTCTCCTTTAATGTGGAACCATTCCTTAGTCTTTTTAAAACTTCCTTGTTATTGACATTTTTATTTGAAGTATAGGACATTTATAGAATGACCCTCAATTTGAGTTTGTCATATGTATTCTCATAAGTAGATTTAGGTAATGGTTATTTTTTTGACAGAAGTACCTTCAATGTGATCTTTATCTTCCATGCATGATATCAAGAGTACACAATTTTGGTTTACTCCAATATTGGTGATGTATGTCAGGTCATACCATAGAGTTATTATTATTTTACTCGTTGTGATTAATCAGTAATTTGGGGGGAAATACTTCAGACTATGTTCTTTATGGAACTTCTACCTTTTAATTTTAGAGTCTATTGCTGATTCTCTAACTCCATCATTTCTTCTGTATGCATTAGTTGACATACTATTGCAGGAAAGAACTTCCTTTCTCCTTTTCTTTTTACTTTATTTATTTCATTATGGAATCATTGATTCTTATTTTATTTAATGGATTATATAATCCATGGCTATCATTATTTTGATGCATAGATAATTCTAGATTTGGCCAGATGACTTATCATCAAGCAAGTTTTGTGTTCTTTTAATATTTATTCATCAATCTTTCAGTATTTTCTTATTTTTTGGTGCAAAATTTTATTTTCTGACTCACCTTGCACTTTCTGTGCTCCAGGCCCTGAATCAGCCTTTCCTCCTAGGCTCTTTGGATTTCCTTTCATCTTGAGAATCAACATGGCCAATCAGGGCCTTCTCAGTTTGCATTTTTCTGACACAGTTTTTCCATAATCTTCCACTTTTAAGGCTACATGATTATAGATTGGATCCACTCAGATAACCCAGGATAATCTCCCCGTCTTGGATTCTTCACATTAGTCATATCTGCAGAGTTTCTTTTACCATCTAACACAGTGGTTCTCAACCTTCCTAATGCGCGACCCTTTAATACAGTTCCTCATGTTGTGGTGACGCCCAATTTCATTGTTACAAATTGAACATAATTAAAGCATAGTGATTAATCATGAAAACAATATGTACTTATATATGTGTTTTCTGATGGTCTTAGGCGACCCCTGTAAAAGGGTCGTTCCACCCCCAAAGGGGTCGCGACCCAAAGGTTGAGAACCGTTGATCTAACGTAACACATTAACAGGTTCTGGAAATTAAGATGTGGACATCTTTGGGTAGCCATGTCTCTGCTTACCCATGTTATAGACAGTAATACTACCTGGTTCCTGTCTTTGCTGAATCCTTTTTTTCTGTTTCCTACCTTTCCCTCTTTGATTCAGTGAATACAAAAGAGGTGTCACGATTCAGAGTAACAATAGTGTTATCTATTTATATAAAAACCGTGGGTGTAAAACCTCACGACCAAGGCTCGACCAACCAGAAGGAAGTCAGTCCTGCAGGGGTTGTCTTGGAAACGGCTGTGCCCTCCCCGAGCTGTTTCCTGTGAGGGCGAGGTTTGAGGCAGGAACCGGCCCTTGGAGCATGGGCCCACTGAGTCCTGGGTCGCCTTGCCAAGGGCTGCACGCTTCCCACCCCCACACCCCTCCCCCGAGCTGTTTCCCGGGAGGGTGAGGTTTGAGGCAGAAACCGGCTCTCTGAGCGTGGAGGCATATCTTTATGAAGTTTTAATACATTATATTAGAGGTTGTGGTAGTACTGTTTTACCCACAGTGTCTACAGGAATTGCTGCAAATTTACTTCTCGGTGGAAGCACCTTTCATTCCCAATATAAATTACCGATTCCATTAAATGAAATTTCAATTTCTAGACTCAATATAAACAGTGAAGTTGCTAAAACTATTAAAAAGGCCCAACTTCTCATTATTGATGAATGCACCATGGCATGCAGTCATTTTATAACGCCATAGACAGATTACTAAAAGAAATTATGAGTCTGAATGTTAAATTTGGTGTGAAAGTTCTCCTTCTTGGAGGGGATTTTCGACAATGTCTCAGTATTGTACGTATGCTATGGGATCGGCCATAGTACAAACAAGTGTAAAGTACTGCAGTGTTTGGCAATGTTTCAGAAAGTTGTCTCTTACAACAAATATGAGATCAGAGGATTCTGCTTATAGTGAATGGTTAGTAAAACTTGGAGATGGCAAACTTGATAGCAGTTTTCATTTAGGAATGGATATTATTGAAATCCCCTGTGAAATGATTTGTAATGGACCTATTATTGAAGCTACCTTTGGAAATACCATATCTATAGATAATATTAAAACTACCTTGGCTGCACATTTGAATCACCTGGGAATCTTTTTAAAATCCTGACTTCTGGGCCTCATCCTCTGGAAATTCTGTTTCTTTGTTACTGATGTCATGGCCCCA